TGATAAGATCATGTCGTACCCTCTAAAATTCGGGAAAGGCCCTATGAAGTCCAAAGAAATGTCTTCCATCGGGAGGCGTGGTACTTCTGTCGATTGGAGGCGTCCCGAAGGTAGGGATGTTCTGGCCTTGGTCCTTTGACAGATGTCACATGAAGATAGGAAGCTGTTAACGTCTTTTGACATTTCTGGCCAAAAAAATTCGTTTCGTAGCTGAGTTAGTGTCTTCAGTCTTCCCAGATGTCCCAGTGCTTTATGTGTCCTCTCAATGAGCATTTCACGTAGCTTGTAGTTGTTGGGGATCAACAGCCTTCCATCGACAAAGATCAAGTCCTCTCGCCATTCCGTGCCTTCGCGTAACGGTAGGGTTTTTCCGACTTTCACGCAAAATGGGTCTTTAGAGTATCCGGCCTTGATGTCTTGAATGATTTTCTCGTCCAGGGAGGCGTCGATTTGGATGGCTGCGACTTCGTCTTTCCGTGATAGTGCATCTGCGACCGCATTATCTTCACCTTTGATGTAATTGAAGTTCAAGTCGAATTGTGAAAGCGTCTCTAACCAACGTGCCTGTCGTCGACTTAGATTTCTCTGGGTCAGTAAATGCGTCAATGAATGATGGTCTGACATTACATTAATTTTGAGGCCTAAGAGTATCATCTTCCACTTTTGTAATGCGTTCACGACTGCAAGGAGTTCCTGCTCATGTACCGGATAATTGCGTTCTGCTGGGGACATTGTACGACTTTCATAAGCGATTGGTGATGATGTGTCCCATTGCTTCCCTTGAAATAGGGCTGCTCCAAGTCCGTGGCCGCTGGCATCGGTGAAAAGCCAAACTGGGTCCTCTGACTCATAATTAATTTGTTTCAGTACCGGGAGTGTCGTTATGATATGTTTAATGTTTTCGAATGCTTTGTGTTCTTTGTCTCCCCATTGAAAGGGTAAGTTTTTTCGTTTTGTGCTTGTCAAGGGAGATAAGGTACCGACATAGTGCGCCAATCCATCAATGAACTTCTTGAGGAATTGCACCGTGCCTAAAAATTTTAGTAATTGTTTTTGTGATGTAGGTGTCTTCCAATTTGATACTTTTTCTACCTTTGCCTCATCGGGACATACTCCCTCCCCACTAATTTCATGTCCTAGAAAGTTGATACTTGTCCTGAATAGTTTACTCTTCTGTGGTGAACAATAGAGTTTTGCTACCTTGAGTCTTCTCAAAACTTCTCGTACGTGTAATTCGTGTTCTTCTGCGGACTGTGAGAATACCACAACATCGTCAATGAAAACAACACAATAAGTTCCAATGATGTCTCCTAAAGCCTCTTCTACTCTACTCTGATGTGTGGCCGGTCCATTAGTCAGCCCCATTGCCATAACCGTCCATTCAAACAGGCCAAACGGTGTTTTGACTGCTGTCAATGGTATGTCTTCTTCACGCATTCTTGTTGAAAGAAAGAATTGATTTGATCCAGAATGGAAAAGACCTTTCCAGTGCTTACCAGTCCGACGGCTTCATCGACGTTTGGTAATGGGGACCTGTCTTTAACTGTATATTTGTTCAGTTTTCTGTAGTCACAGACCCACCGCGGTAAGGCGTTTGGATCTTTTTTGGGGATGATCATGGAGGGTGACGCATATTGACTCGTTGATCGTCTTATGCGTCCTGCTTTCAGGTGTTGTGCAATTAGCTTCTGCCATGCCGCTCGGTACTTTGGTGGATAGTTGTATTGTTTTTCGTTGATAACGACCTTAGGATCCGTCAGCACAATCTTGTGAGTGACTTTGGAGGATGCATTCTGCCCTTCAGGTGGAATGAAATCATCCTCCTCATCGTCCGTCACTGCTGGTAATTCCTCCGGGAACATCTCCGTGAATTCTTGAAGTACTCGCTCTTCTCGCATTGTCAGATCTCGTGAACTCTGCACTCTCTCTAGGTTTTTCACCACACATGCTATCATTGCGTTAGTCATTGAGCTTTCAATTTCTTTCTTAGCAACTTCTTCTAGCAAAACAGTATGCGTAGGTACATGAGTCACTGATCGGTTGTGGAGGGATACATCAAGGTGGTATTTTTCCAGAAAGGGGGTTCCCAAAATGACATCGTATGTGTGTCCTAATGGTGCGATCTTGAAGAAGGTTGACCCGAAACGTAAAGGTGGATCCATCGAGCTGACATTAGCAAAGCAGAACTCTCTAATGACAAAAGGAGTGTTGTCGGATGAAATGGCCAGACTCACCTCAATGGGTGTCACGAGTTGTCTACGAGGGATTTGAGCCTTCTTCGCCATTGGTTCCGACATTAGGTTTGCTTCTGCTGCTGAGTCAATCAATGCACGCATGCGAGTCCCGTTAATCACTAAATGCAAGATGATAGATTTAGTTTTTTGAGATTGTTCCACACACCCTGTCATTTCCTCCTCCATGTGTGCTAACAAAATTCGATCAGCTTCTTCGTATCGTTCAATTTCTTTCTGAGTTAATTCTGGTGCGAGTACATTAGGATTCTCAGTCATTGTTCTGACGGGAATCGAAGTTGTGGGGCGTCCTGCTGGTCTGCTCGTAGGCGTTCCTGCTGGTTGACTAGGTCGACTGTTTGATGATGTTACTTGAGCATTTTGGCGCGGTGGTCGTGGCCCGGGATCAAATACGCTTAACGGTGGTAATTTGATGTACGGTCCTTTCACCGGTCCTTGGCAGTTCGGATTCCCACACTTGGTACGACACGAAGAGCAGATTCCCAGATGACGAAGGTATTGGTGGTAATGCCAGGCGTAATCGGCACGTTGCTCGGCGGTACGGTTATCGTTTCCAGCTGGTGGTTGGGTCTGATAGTTTGATCTGACGGTTGCTGCATGATGGTTGTTCGGGTTGTGG